AATGGTCCGATATATTCACACCACAGGTTTCGACACATGATTTAAAGTGCGCAAATGTAAAAAATATCTGAAAAAGGTGGTCTTGAGTATTTTTTATAGAAGCACTATTAGACTGAATATATGTCTTACACAATTCTAGGTCTTTCATCACTGTGAATTCTATTTTACTAACATGTTTATTTATGTTATCAACACAAGTTTGAACACTGTCATGTTTGTTTGTAGGATTCATTTAAGAATGAGTTACTGACTTAGTTAGTTTCTCCATAGCTTCCGCATGCGTAGATTCAAAACTGCACTGTTTGTAGAGATGCAACCGTGATCTTGAGTTGCTCGATCTCTACTTTGCATACACATTTATAAGTATCTTGTAAAATGACAGATGATTTACGGCGACTTGGCTTTTTTGATGTTGTTATAATTAGTCAATAACGATTATATTTTCTCCTCTCCTTCGATTACGCTGAGTATAGCATGAATGTCATAGACAAGCTTAATATAAGCAGAGTCCTCCTGTCTGGTACTTACACGACGTTTAAGCGCAGTATTTACATCGAAAGTGTACCCTTCCGATTCCCTTATAATGTTAAAAAGCATTTGACGACTTTCTTCCAGTTTCGTGTCAGACTTGTTATATTCTAAGACCAACCTGTCGACAAACATGTCTGCTCGCAGGTCTCTTACCCACGACTGCAACTGATAAAACTCGTTGAGATCCGTTTCTGTCTTTTAATCCACTCGAGGAATGGCTTCAAATGATAACGACTCATTTAGTGAGTGTTTAAGTCAATGTTAGGGACATATGTTTGAATTTTATTCGGTGACATTGGCGACATAGTACTTCTATAGTCATATTGAGCGATGTTGTCAGATTTCAACGCCGTATTAACGGGAAATTTTACCGTTGTTTGATCGCTTAACATAACTGGTTCAAGTTCCGTTAGATTTTGTCGGAGTGCCATAGTTTATATACACCAGCGATCAATGATTACTGATCACAGTTCAATCAGTCTACAGTAAACACAATTCAACGTTTGCGCATTGGTCATTGCTCACAGTTTTCAAACAAAGAAGACACAGAAAATTTGCTAACTTCCAAATTTCAACTAATTTAAGTTATATTTTCATGATTTAGTACACGAATGTACACGAATAATGAAGTTAATCTAATTTGTAAAGAAACCATACTGAATATAAAATCCAATCACATTTAATTCCATTTATAATTTACGTTTTAGTGCGAGAGAAAATTTTCCACCTCTCCATAACCGGAAACGGAAACTGAAAATATTTTGGACAGGCTATATGGCCCTATATACGTTTGTTTGTAAATATAACCCGAGTCGCTGGGCGAGGGTTATGTTGCAAACAACTGTTTATATAGGGTCATATAACTTGTCAGAAATATTTAAAACGAATTTATAATACAGCAAGCATCATTTTAAGAGGAATAAAAAGAGATATCTTTATACATCGACAGCAGCTCGGGTTATATTAACGAACAGTCGTTTATATAGGGCCATATAACCTGTCAACAATCTTTATAACTAATAATATAAACGTCACAATTATCCAATGAAAGGTGACGTTACAAACATGCAGTATTATAAAGCCGTGCATATATTTTGACATACGCCATTTTCTTAATATAAACATAACGTAAACACGCGCTAAATGTGAGCGTTATACAACAGGCGTGTCAATGACGAATGTTTTCTTTCACTTCAAACGGTCTAATTTTTAGTATATGATAAATAGAATATTAAAATCGTGTAAGTTTAATACTTAAATTATTGAACGCGTTGAATAAAATAATAATATACACGCTAGAAACTCGTATAATATAATTTTGTTCAACTCATTCAAGAAATTCAGTATTAAACCTACACCCATTAAATATACTCTGTTTATCACATACCCTTGACGCTTTTGCGTCTCCGTAAAAATGGTATTGCACCGTCGTGTTTATGTAACGCATATGACGTCACGTCAAGATATAGTCACGACCGTGCAATACCATTTTTACGGAGACGCAAAAGCAGCATGGCTACGTGATATATGAGTATATTGAATGAGTGCGTTAATATTATAAACACTAAGGCGAGAACAAATTTAACCACCACCAATATAGTCCAACTTTAGTTTTCCTTGACGTGTTAGAATGGAAACACATCATGATTCTGTTTGCTCTGTGATATACATATAGCACGAAATGTCATTTAGATGTCCGTAGGCCTATGGCCTTTGAAATTACATTACTGCTCATCTACTCCGTACAATGTTATATTATTGCACAGTTCACTCAAAATCAATACATATTTCCTTGTTTAACCACCCTGAAATTAATTTTTACACCCTACTTTATACAAGATTCTAATTTTACGAGTTTTGTTTGCCTAAGAGCATTTAAACCATTTTACGATTCGAATTTTCCATAGAAACGGATGTTGCATTTCGTGCGCGCGCATTCTGCGTAGGGCAAAAGTTATAAAAAATATATTATATCGGTATTCAACAACTTCATAAACAACTTGATGTAATGTGAAAGATTAACCATTAGTTTAGAAAAGTTTATTTTGATAAATAATAGATGCACGATGGTTCACTAGTGCATATTAAAGCACTGAACTCCTATTAAAAGACGTTTTCGGTAGCTTTTTGTGCGCATCGTTATGCGCTTCCAAGAAAGATAATCGCGGACTTTTACTCTTCAAAAAGAAGGTCAAATATTGAAAAGTACTCGGATAACTGTTTAAATTTCGACTATACGCAAATAATGAGCAAATAATACAGAATAACTATTTTTTAATGTTCAGGAGATGGATCGGTTCAAAAGAATAAAAGGTCGTTTAGACAACATCAGATAAAGGATTTCTCCCAGCATTTGCACGATAGCATTGATGATGATTCTGCGCGCGTTATTGACGAAAGTGTGTCGCCACTTGATTACTGTAAGACAAATGCAAAGAAGTTTAAAATGATATATTTTAAAAATGTTGAATAAATAACAATAATAATATCTAAGAAATGTTCCAATTATCATTATTTTCTTTTTTAATTTCTGAATACTCGTTACTGTTCAGGTATGTTAGCCGAGTGAAGAAATAATATGGCCTTATATAACTTGTTTTAAAAACATATTCAGAATCATTTACTTCATATAACATCAAAAGAAATAGTAATTTATATAACAATACGTTTTTGTTGTATATTTGACAATGCTTTTAGTATAACACTGATATTTCTCAAGAAAGCGAGGTAATTTTGACTGTTGGCATACAAATATATGCGGTAACCATGGAAACTGTCCATTTACAAAACAACTAACACGTCAACATATTTTTTTATTTCTATTTTTGAATCCACAATAAAATTTTACTTGATATATCAAAAATGTAGAAAATTCTATGGAAGAGCTTTTTTGATAGCTTTAATTATTTACAGAATTCATGTTTATTTTTCTCATTTTTTGTTCAGTTAAGAAGCATGAAAAACTCTTTATTTTAATAAATATGTTCAGATTATCGTTTGTTTCAAATAGAACCCTAAGATAAAGCAAGTTTTGTATAAAATTATGCTTATTGTGTTTGTAATTAGCTTTCTTATACATTGTTATAACACAGTGTGGCTATTTTGACAATTTTGAGATATACGGCCATCAAATTTTACTGATCATACAAAAAATTTAGAAAATTCTATGAAAGGGTTAAATTTTCATAAAACTGTAGTAAATGTCTTAAAGATCATGAATACGAAATAATTTAAGGGCAATATTTCTCTTTCTATTCTCATTTTCCAAAATGGCATGCAAACTTGCGTTCAGAGGAATGACGTTTCGTATATGTCAAGTAATAATGCTCAGAAAAGAAAAAAACATGCCTATTGAAAGGTCACATTTGTAAGGACCATCTTAACGATGTCCATCGTCCTTCATGTTGTCTGGAGAAAAAATCGCGAAAAAATCGGCATAAATTTATTTCTTTAAATGAGCTACAAATTTGACTGTAATTAAAATGCAGTGTACAAAAAAATTATCAGTTTAGAGTGTAACAAATTTAACGAAAAATATTAAACTCAAACCTTTCTTAGGATGTACATTTAAACATTTGAAAGAATAATACTTTATCACAGGATTTAATCTTAGTTTTTTGTTTTTTTTATCTTAATTATCTTTTTATTATTTATTGTTCGCCAGTGTTATCCATTTGATTCAATAATGAACTTAGACTGCTTCGAAGAAAGTGTAGGAAGAATCAATAACATGTAAATGTGTACGCAGTATCTTGATTTTTTGAGAGTGTACGCAGTATCATAAGTCTATTTCCTGTAAATATGTCGTTTTAAGACATTTTTCGTACAAAGAAAAAATAAAAGATTGAAAATATATTTGTGAAATAGGTTCTACAATAAACTAACCTTCCAGTTGTGTGAAACTTTTAGTTTAATCGACAATTTCTCAATTTCTGTAACATTTCAACGCCGGGTGTATGCACTATTCAGAATCAAAATCGCATTCAACGCAAAATACTGACGAGAAAGGGCGGTATTGTGTCAAGTCATTTGGAATATTAAAACTTAAGTAAGGACATATTCTTTGCAAAAGAAATTAATATCAACATCAAAAGGCAATTTTCCTTAATATTTATACATGTATGCTTATAATTATATCATTGAATTTGTTTTTTTAATTTAAGTCTTATAAGATGTCTCAGATAACCCCTACACACATCCCAAACATGGGCACCGGTTTTAAATGTTAAGACAGTTGTGCCAAGCTTACTTGTTTGAAAAGGGGATACTTTTTTACGGGTATGCGGCTATAAAAAATGTTTTGTACTTTCTAGAAAAGAAGAAAAGTGATGAAAAAACTGATTCCTATAAATTCCCAAAATGGTCAAAATCATTCATGATTGAGTTAGACTTGTACATTTGTAGATAAATAATGCCCTGTCTGAGCTTGGATTCTTTTCCGCAAGCACAAAATCATTTTTTACATCTGAAATAAGTTAACTTTTTATTTACACAGTAATAATTTCGAGAGTTCTAAATGATTTACACTTCGCATAAATTAAATTATAGCTCTCCAAATCAGTTGATCTTCTCTGCAAATATTTAAACAGAGACTCTTGTAATCGAGTTTATGTTAATTTGGCGTTCCACACTTGGGGCATTAGCGGATAGAATCAAATTGAAAAAATAGAGTAGTAATTAAATTTTCGGTTTTCGGCGTTTTCGTAATTATGCAGTAATAAATTAAATTGAACTGAAAAATATCTGAACAACAACAAACCATATTTGAACAACAGCCAAAATTTGACTTGCATTCATTCAGATGAAATAAATCATAATTTAAACCATTGTCAACGGTTGAAAAGTGTGAAATAAATATAATAATGTCAATCAAGACGTCAATCATAAAAGAGCGTCTCCTTCCGTAGGCCTCGTATGTAGATAACGAGTATACACCGTTGATAAGGCAGTGCTCCTTCTTGATTAAGTTACTCCTATAACTTTTTCAAACTTCATCTATGCCTGATTTGGAAGGAAACTTGACTGTTATCAATTTCACAAAATCACTGTTATTCTTTCCTCCACTTTATAAATGAATTATATGTCTATCACTTTTGCCACAAAATCGGCAAATGGGGGCTTCCATTTGTAAGCAGTTTGTTTACAGTTATTTCTTTTTATCTTTTGAAGACCTGTAATTGTGATGGAAAATTTATAGCAGAATATGTGCTTTGATTAAAAACATAAAATATTTGCAAATTAATTGCCATCAGGAATAATGTCTAGTTATATCGTTAAGTTAATACACAGATAGTTCTTCGTGCCACGTGTGAAATTTGGGTTTGCATTCGTCATGTGATTTAAAGACACACACCCATCAGGATCTAAAGTGAGTGTTGAATTTTATTTTATTTTATATTTACTAGAATTTGCTTACATTCACCATTGAAAGAGTGGTATAATTACGCACGTGGCGAAAGAGTGGTATAATTACGCACGTGACTGACACAAAATGTCGCCTCCTAATATCGGACTGAAGCACTTTTTTGAGTTGTGTTTTAAGTCACACTAACATTGTAAAGGTCATATGGAGAGGTTCCATCTTTACTGGTGAAGGAAGACATCAAGTGCCGTTCCGTGTATTATTTCAGGCAAGAACGAACAACTGAGTAAAACTTTTTACGACATTTCGTAAGCTAGCTGGCCAGCTTCCACATATGAAAGAATTCAAAGTCCCAGGCAGTGCTGATAATATGTTTCCTGTGACCATTCCGTTATTTTTTCACATTATTTATTTATATGTTTTCAATTTTAAAGTATAAATTCACTCGTTTTGATATAAACAAAACATTTTTTATTACAACAGTTTAAGGTATGAAATACAACAACAGAAACAGAAGGATGTTTCATCTCGGTATTTAGACCTGTAAACGTTTACGTGAGTGACTGTTGTCAAATCATCAGACATTTCCTTTTTGTGGTTCTTTCAATACAAATATAATTTGAATATTTAATACAGTACAATGCATGCCCGATTGTATTCAGTAAGAATATATTTTGTTGAAAATTTGCAGGTTTGCATTAATGCGTCTCAAATCTAAGCGTAAAAAACAAAGGATTAACAGAAAAAAACTTTCAGAAAAAGAAATATTTTTGTTCATAGTTTATGTTTGCTGTACACCGAGCCTATTCAGGGCCATCTTGTGCTTTCGAGGTGCTCGGATCTGCGTTCCTTTCAACTACAACCTGTGGTTGCGGACGCGTCGTGTCCGGTTCGGACTGGCCCACTTTGGGACTTGGTCTCGGAGATTCCACCTTGCTGTCCTCTTTGTCAGCACTTGTGTCGGAGCAAACACACGCTATAAACTCTGAAATAGGAAAACATTAAACTATTTTTGTACTTCTTTCAATATTCTCATTAGCAGTATTACTGCCACTAATTGGGCAATTATAGCATCGTTAGTGCTTTTAACAAGTGTAATTATCGCCGTATATGATTCACCGATATTAACAATAATGGCTAAAAAAAACAAAAATAACATATTAATTTTCTGAATTGAAGGAGCGAACATTCCCTTATACGGTCACTAGATAGTTACAAAATGATATTGGTTTGCTCAGCTGTCACTTGCATATTATATTGTGCATGGTGCCCGGCTACGTTATGGATGGTAGAGATAACATAAAACCAAAGCAGTGACTGTGTAACCGTTATCGTGCAAAACTTATCGTTGATAGGGAGCATTAAAGTGATGAAAATTAAACCGCGTCACGACAAAACTAACGTAATGCATTTGCGACCAACATGGATCCGCGCAATCTGATCAGGATCCATGCTGCTCGCTTACAAACCCTATTACAAGTAGAGAAACTGATAGCGAACAGCATGGATCCTGATCAGACTGAGCAGATGCAAACGCATTACTTTGGTGTTGTCGTGACGCGGCTCATATATTTTAAAATAGTTAATATACCGTCATAATCTATTCTGCCGTCTCCGTCGATGTCCACCTCGGCAATCATTTCATCGACTGTGAAATGGAAATTAAAGTTATGCTATTAAAACTTGATTTATTACAGTTAAATATAGGATGATTAAATCAATTTCATTAATCACTTTTGAGACTCCGTAAAACGGTATTGCACGGCCGTGCATACAAACATATAGCGATGTTGTTATATATTTATACCCCGTCAATAAAAAGTGAGTCTATGTTACTTTTCGGGTATATGATAAGTTGAATGTTATTTTCGTCTAGCATCATTACTAAATTTCTTGTACTCGCCAGAGGCTCGCATAATATGATTTTATTCAACTTTTTCAATAAATTCGGTATTGAACTCCCACTCATTCATTATCTTGTATGTATTATATGATTATCACTATTCAACCAGGAATAGCATATAATAAAACTGCAATTTGTATATTGCAATGTGATCAGTATATCACTAATTCGCGAATATCATAAAGGGTAGTTTCTATATGCCGCGCCATTTTGTTTAATCCAATTTGCATCATACAGTCTTATAATTGTTCATCGGAATTTTATCTTAGTATTAAGAATTTTATCAAATTTTCCAGACGCCGACTTGATTGATTCAGAACAATAGCATTTTTAGATGCCAAGTAATCCGAATGATTTATTAGACGCCAAACAACTAATTGCAATCGATTTATTTTACAGTGAAATTTTACTCGTTTAATTGTAACGTAGTGTCATTGGTTAACATTATATGTACATTGAACTTTAAAATTATGAAGATGATTTCAATAATAAATTAAATCTAAATCAGATCCAAACTAAGTTAATTTTCTGGTAGCAGCGCAGTAATGGAATTTGCGTTAATTTGGAACTCCAACAATGACAATTTAACGATTTCTGAATCCAACATTTGGCGACACAAACAGGAAGTTTTCTTCAAAATATTCCTTCGAATATTCCAAACAATGACGCGGTTTTCATCAATTTAATTGTATTCTTTAACTACGTAGAATTTAAAGACGCAGACAACACTATATTGATCACAAACACGGAAGTGCATAACGCTTTAATGTACATATGAACCCGGTGACCATGAGAGCTTACGGAATTATCCGAAAAAGAACGACTGACATAATATATGTTCTATTTAATACAGCAATATACACATTAAAAGTACTCATGGTTCCTAATTAAAAATCTGCAAATTTGTCTACAAGAAAGATGCACATACATACGTGCGCACGTACAAACTCTAAATGAATAAATTCTATCCTTTTACATTAAGAATTGTCGCCCCTTGTCCCCTACTGCGACAGGAAAGCAACCGTCTAAAGTTGTTATTAATGACAATAAAAAATAGCAAGATAATCAAAACATATTGTTTCTTAATAATTACAAAACGAAATGCAATATTAATTATGAATGAAACCGTGAAATGCCTTACTTTCTTCTTCTGTCAGATCTTCCCCTAGACATTGTAGAATTGCTCGGATATCCGAAGCACATATGTAGCCACACCCAGATTTGCAAAAACCTGCAAATACAAAAAATGAGAAGGCTACATACATATATATATTAGCCGCCGGTTTCTAGTTACCCCGCCAGTTCTCCCAAAAATTCATCAAATATATTACACGCCTTAAAATTGTAAACAATGTCTCAATTTTTTAGATTATGAAATATGTTTCAATTTGATACGTTAAATTTGATTAGAACTTTTATTAAAGTGTATGTTTTGTTTCTCTACCTTTACACCTTTTTTGCAAAAATATATATCCAAAGTTTGTTTTTGCCATGGTAAAATTGCATTTTACCATTGGTTTTCCGTATTTTGCCATAACTAACGTGTTCTTGATTTTGTCTTGGCAAACTTGAAACTTTAACAAAGTTTTTAGGAGTCATTGTAATGTTTTTTAATTCAAAAATCTATTTTTTCTTATTTTGCAATGGTAAATTCATGCTATGCAAAGATCATTGCAAAATTCTTTTTGCAATGAACACTCCATGGCAATTGCTAATATATGTAAATAAGGCGCAAATGTTCAAATATTTGTTTTCAGACTTAAATTCACAACTGCAGGTGCCAAGTGTCGTGCCCCTCCCCGTACTTCACTTCAGTGTTGTTATATTTTCCTAGTCCTTCGGGCACTTTAGGTACCGCTCAAACCGGTGCTACAATCGCCTTCACATTGACATTATACATTACTGGTAAAATCAGATCTTTCCTTACAATAATGTGAAATTTGCAGTTACAAAGAAAAAAAAACAATACAAAAAACAATGCAAAAAACCATCTTGGAATTGAGATATTTCCCAAAATCCTGGCGTCTTTTCGTTAACACTATAAGCTCTGTTTCACAGTAAACACAGTTAAATTTAAACACTATACAAGCATCGACATAACGAGTCATTTTTATACAAAAATTATTGACTTACACTATATTTTCTAATTTATTTTCAAATATAAATGTAAATTCAGCACGTATATCTCGTGTCTCGCGATGAAAAAAGAAAATGATTTTAATGTTAACATGAAATACTGCACGTATATTTTGTGTCTTACAGTAAAAGCTTGTCTCAACTCTTTCTCTTCATCCTCCTCAGACTGTTCACTAAGTCCGCCCATGTTAGCCATCACTTGTACAAACTCTTCAAAACTAAACGTTCCATCACCTTAAAACGTAAAATAGTATTATTTCTATAGTAATAATGTTATTAACGACTACAATCTCCTTGAATGGGCCAGCCATTTTCAATAACTATTATACATGTATTGTATATAAGTAAGCATTAAATTTCATTAAAATACTATACCGGTATATGGGTAAATCGCTTCTGTCCGTGCCGAAATTAATTCAAGGACTTAATCTGAGACCTCTAGATCTGATTAATAGCTTTGTTAATCATAATTAGCAAACAATATTGTCAATTTCTTGAAGTATATTTTTTTAAATAAAAATAAATGCGTGTACATTTGTTTACAAAGCAATATGGTCGTAGAAAAATAACCGTCATTTTTATTCATTCCAGTTTTTCTAGTTTGAAGGGTACTTTGACGTGGATCATTGTTTTTCATAAGTTCAATAAAGAAGAGACGCATAACAACATCGAGCGATAATTTTTCAAGGAAGTAAAAGAAGTTCAAAAGGAAGAAAAAGAGAAGCACACTTTATACGAGAGCTTACAATTCCATGTTGATTCTGACTGCATTTAGAATGAATGAAATAATATGTGTAATTGTGGTATCTCGTAACGAATGAAAAACGCCCCTTTGATCAAACTATTCTTCACCGCCCCAACAGACCACATCTTGCATAAACCATTGGAATTCTGTTAATTGAATGCTGAAGAAATGTTCAAAGGATTTTGTGTGGCATTCTGAGATGCATCGGTACATTTGATAAAAAACACACTTTGCAAGAGTCGGTAGCCACAGTAACTCGCGCGATAAAGGGTGACACATAATCTTTCATTTATAAATGAAAGATACAATATTATTTATAAATGAAAAGATACAATATCATTTATAAATGAAAGATAAAATATGATTTTATAAATGAAAGATGCAATATCATTTATAAATGAAAGATTATAATATGATTTATAAAAGGAAAGATACAGTATCATATTTAAAATGAAAGATATAATAAAAATTTATAATGAAAGATACAGTATCATATATACAAATGAAAGATACCATATGACTTATAAATGAAAGATACAATATCATTTATAAATGAAAGATAAATATTATTAATAAATGAAATATACAATTATATCATTTATAAATGAAAGATACAATATCATTTATAAACGAAGGAATACGATAAAAACATACCATCAATGTCGATCTCTTTCAGCATCATATTCAGCTCGTCCATGGACGGAAATTGTCCAAGGTTCCGCATGACGGTTCCAAGCTCTTCCGCGGTGATCGAACCGTCGCCATCTTTGTCGAACAATTTGAACGCTTCCCTTAGCTCTGTAATAGAGTACATCATTTAATGTAATTTTAAATAATCATAGCTACGACGTAGACGTAGTTGAACAATGTTCATAATTATATGGATCGGCAATACAAAATGGAGATAAAGAAATGTCAAAGAGATAATACCAGAAGTGTCAATATTTGATATTTAACGCTAAATGCCATGCAACTTCATTTTGTTCGCACTCCAGTGATGATAATATTGTTTTCGTAAACATGGTTATATTGGATATCTTGTAACTTACTAAATGAACATCTGAATTAAAAATAGAGCAAAATATGCTCGAATTCAATGGATCCTTAACCATGTGACCTTTTGTGATCTACTTTGGCAGGAAACCAATGCAAAAGTTGGTCGATTCAGAAGCGACGTTTTCAAAGGGAAAAAATCAATAATTTGTTTTTAAAGTGTTTACCACATAATTGAAAATTCAGAAATTCACGCTGTGTTACTTCTCGAAACTAATACTTTTTTTTCCAAAAAATATTTATGTACAGTATGGGTTACTTATTAAAAGGTTGCAACACATTTATGTACATGGAGGGGGTATGAGATCTATAAGTCGTACATGATTGGTTGTTAATCAATCTTGTTTTATACGTAATTTGTTAATTTGTTCATAAATCATAGTTTATGTAAAACTTATAAAAAAAACAACTTTAATGCATACATTTATCTTTTAAAGAAATATTAAATAATAGTGTGTTAAATTCTAATGCTCAAAGATAATCTGGATTATCCCCCCTTGTATTGTGTAAACATCTTAGCTTCCCCACAGGCCCTGGTCCAACTTGCTTCAGATGTAAGAGACCCGAGGCTCAAATCCCTCTCAATACATCATTTTCTTTCTTGCTGATATAACCATTCGCTTTTTTCTCAAACAATAAGCAGTGAAATGCAAAAGATAAAAGCATGACAATACATGTGGTTACATAAAAAAGAAAACAAAAAAGAAAAAAAAGTGAATGTTTGATATTTAATGCAAATTAGGAAGTAAGGCCAAACAAAGGTATATATGTTTCAACATCAAAAGGCAATTTTCTCAAATATTTATGCATGTATGTTTATATATCATTGAATATGTTTTTTAATTTAAGTTTTTTTTAGATGTCTCAAATACCCCATACACATACCCCACACATGGGCACCGGTTTTAAATGTTTAGACAGCTTACTTGTTTGAAAAGGGGATATTTTTTATGGGTATGCTTTTATAATAAATGTTTTCACTTCACTTCATTGTTGTTATATTTTTCTGGTCCTTCGGGATCAATGATGAAAGCACTATTAAGTGTTGAAGAATTGAGTACCGCTCAATCCGGTGCTAGGGGCATGAGGGATGTTGCACTAATTCATTTATCCTCATGTACAGACTCAATCAAACCCGAGCTCTGCAATTCTTATGTAATTTTGTTGTGATTAATGCTTACGAGGGATCACTTTGTTTCCAGAATTTTTGTACTTCACAACAGCAGGTGTCAAGTGCTGTGTGGGCAGGCTGTAAAAAGTTGCTACCGTACTTCACTTCAAGTGTTGTTGATATATTTTTCTGGCCCTTGGGGATCATTGATGCCAGCACTATTAAGAGTTGAGAATTGAGTACCTGCTCATAGCCGTGCTAGGGGGCGTGTGAGGGATGTTGGCACCTATTCATTATCCTCATGTAGTACAGACTCAATCAAACGAGCCTGCAATTCTTTATGTAATTTTGTTGTGATTATAATGGCTTCCGAGGGATCACTTTGTTTCCAGAATTTTTGTATTCACAACAGAGGTGTCAAAGTGCTGTGTGGCAGCTGTAAAAAGTTGCTCCGGTACTTCACTTCAGTGTTGTTATGATTTTCTGGTCCTTTCGGGTTCATATGATGCCAGCACTATTAAGTGTTGAGAATTGAGTACCGCTCAAGCCGGTGCTAGGGAGCGTGAGGGATGTTGCACCTTTTCATTATCCCTCATGTACAGACTCAAGTCAAACCGAGTCTGCAATTCTTATGTAATTTTGTTGTGATTAATGCTTCCAAGGTCCAGATTTTTGTACTTTTTAGAAAAGAAGAAAAGTAATAAAAAAATGATTCATATAAATTCCCAAATGGTCTGTTGTCCTTATAATTTAAAAGATTCTTCCCGAAATTCAATTTAAGAAGCCCACGTGGTTTTGTCCCCGTGATTTATAGGGAAACCCCAAAAAGCGAATAAAAAAATTTTTATTTTAATTTTGACTTGTATTTTTTTGTTAGATAAATAATGCCCCGGGTCTTTTTTTGATTCTTTTCTGAAAGCCCAAAATCATTTTTTAAAAACTGAAAAAGGCTTACTTTTAAAAATTTGGGGCAACTAAAAATTTTTCGGGGTTTTAAAAATAAATTTTACATTTCGCATAAATTGAATTATAGCTCTCCAAATAAATTTGGGTCTTTTTGAAAAATTTTTTAAACAGAGACTTTGGGAAATGGGTTTTTTTTTTAATTCGGCGTTCCAACTTTTGGGGGAAATTTAAAAGGATGAATCAATTTTTCCTTTTCCCTATTTCTAAAACAAAATTGAAAAATTTAGAGTATTCCCATTAAATTTTTCGTTTTTCAAAGCGTTTTTCATTAATAGTGATTGCTGGAAAAAAATTTGAACAACAACAAAAAATCCTCTGAAACAACCGACAAAGCATGTCTGAAAACGATACATTATAATATCTTAATTTTAAACCGATTTTCCCAACGGTTGAAAGTGTGAAAATGATTACAAATGTTTAGTACAAGCGATAATCGGCAAAACAGAAACCGTCTTCTTCTCCCGGTATAGGGTTCAGGGATCGATTGTAACACGGGATAGAGGCCAGCGATTGGCTGAAAAAAAGTGCAGGGAAAACCGTTAATGATTTCAGTTTATCATAGGCGATTGGGATGAAAGGGGGGTATTTTTTAAGTATAAAAACCTGATTTAAAAAAAGTAACACAAAATGGTTTTCTGAAGAAAATGAAAATATTTTATGAGTCCTCTGTGTAATTTTGACTTGGATTTTGCCATTTAAAATAAAAGGTGTATGCAGTTCCTGTGATCGCAAAAATTTCAATGAAAGGGGGGGGTAACCCTTTTGAAGCTTTTTGGGCAAAAAATTTGGTTGGTTTACCCCTATTTTAACAGAAAATTTTTATGTGTCAGGCTTTTCTTTCCCTGCTAAAAAAATACCTCTTTGGGCTTTAAAAACGGGAAATTTTTAAAGGTAGGATAAGGCCCCCATTTCTTATAATCCCCGGTTTTTATTTTTACCTATTATTTAAAATTGTAATAAAAAAATTTCCGTGTTATAATTAATTTCTTTTGGAAATATAAATTTGTGAGTTTTTAAAATATACGTACACCTCGAATAAAACCAATGCAATTCCCCCCGCTTTTAAAATTTAAAGGGCCAAGTTCCTTCGCGGAAGTAACCCCTAAAAGTACTACCCACTTTTGTCAAAGTTGAGGGGGGAAGAGAAATTGACTTTTTATCAATTTAAAAAATCACTATTATTCTTTCTTCCACTCTATAAATGAATTATATCTCTATCATCTTGGCTACAAAAGTGGCACATGGAGGCTACCGTTTTACCATGTGACTGAAAGTAGTTCCAATATGTCGACTTATCGTTACGGTACAGGCAGTAACCTAATCCTGTAAGTGTAGATCATTGCGTGGGAGATTGGGCTATATTGCAAAGCATAAAAGCCGAATCAGTTTGGGACGAGAGGGGCAGTTTTTGGAATAAATTGGGGTTTCTAGCATGAGCCCACAAATTTGGGCCCTTGCTTTAAAAAGTTTAAAATTTAACAAATTTTAAATCTTCCTCGTATTTGTCCAGCTGAGTACTTGGACAGGATGTCCGAATCTTTCTGTAAAAGAAAGGAGAGAACTAGTATATTTTTTTTATAAATACAGGTATTTTTAAACTAGGATTTTTATAGTGGGACTTTTCTATAAAAACAAAATAGCTGACGGCGAGATTAATTAAACTCACACTATGTGAATAATGTGCACTCTTAAAAATATAACAACTAAATTGACCAAAAAAACTATTCCTTTTATTACAAAGCAAAAACTTTTAAAATATCTTTTAAAATTATGTATGGATATGTGTAGGACCTAAAAGAAATTATTTCATAAAAGCATGCATCAACGGATAAAATCGCACAAGCATGCGCCGCTGTTGCATGTTTTTGAAGTATGCTTGAGTCAGGGCTCCAAAATAGCTCAATGTAATTACGACTTCGATAGTTTCACTGTCAAATCAAACAGTACATGCTCATGAAAAATTTAAAGAGTATTTGGTAAAGAGTTTATGTATTATGTTAGAAGGAGGTAATGAACATGGTTTGTAAAGGGTAAAATGAAAGGGAATTGCTGGTAAAGAGGTAATGTATGGAGTTGTTGAAAGGTAACGTATGAAGTGGGTAAAGAGGTTATGTATGAAGTTGGTAAAATGATAATGTATGAAGTTGTTAAAGAGGTTATGTATGGAGTAGGTCAAGAGGTAATGTATGAAGTTGGTAAAGATGTAATGTATGAAGTTGGTAAAGAGGTTATGTATGAAGTAGGTCAAGAGGTAATGTATGAAGTGGGAAAAGAAGTAATGTATGCAGTTGGTAAAGAGGTTCTCTATGAAGTGGGCAAAGATGTAATGTATGTAGATGGTAAAGAGGTAATGTATAGAGTTTGAAAAGAGGTAATGTATGAAGTTGGTAAACATGTAATATTTTAGTGTAGATGGAAAGGGAGGTAATGTATGGAGTTTGGAAATCAGGTAATGGTATGAGTTTGGGTAAAGATTGTCAGGGGGGGTGGCGTCTAATGGATTTGGTAAAGAGGTAATGTAATGGGTGGGTAAAGATGTAATAATGTAGATGGTAAAGAGGTAATGTATGGAGTTGGTAAACTGTAATAATATGTAGATGGTAAAGAGGGTAATATATGAAGTTGGTCAAATAGGAGGTAAATGTATGAAGGGTTGGTAAACAGGTTTTAATGGTATGAGGTTGGGTAAATGATGTAATTGTTGAAGTTGGTAAAACGGTAATTTGTATTGCGAGTTGGTAAAGATGTTATAATTATGTAGATTGGTAGAGAGGTAATTATTGTATGAAAGTTGGTAAACAGGTAAAGTGTAATGGAAAGGTTGGTAAAGATGTAAAATGTATGGATTTTTGGGTAAAAAAGGTAATGTATTGAAGAAGGTAAAGAGGTATGTAATGGTTTGGTAAAAGATGTAATGTATGGTATTTGGGTGAAGAGGTAATGGTTGAAGTTGGTTTAAAAGAGGTAAAGATAAGGATTGGTAAAACATGATGTAATTGTTGGATTTTGGTAAGAGGTAATGGTTGGGAAGTTTGGTAAAGAGGTAAAGTATGGTGGTTGGTAAAAGAGGTAATTTGCAGGATTTGGTAAAGAGGTAAATGATGTGAAAGTTGGGTAAAAGAGGTAAAGGGTATTGGTGTTTTTGGTAAGAGGTAAATGCATGGATTTGGTAAAAGAGGTAAATGTTGAAGTTGGTAAAGAGGTAATGTAATGGATTTTGGTA